GAAAAAAAAGATTGTTTTAAAAAAAAAAAAAAGGAATCCATACCATGATGCGTTTTAAAACCATCAGTAGCCGCTGGGCTGGCAAGAAGGCAGGAGTTTGTGTAATGCCCATCCTGGCATGAGCAGCGGGCTCACTCACCAGCCCTGAAGAGGTGAGGTTGGCCTCTGGCCTCCATGGACTTAGGAGACCAGGCAAGAACTCTGACAAAACTTTGGGGGCCGTGATGTGATCGCAGCCCCTGAGGTGGCCTGCCCGCCCCAGGTCTAGGAATGGACTTCTTCAGAATTTGCATAGGCACCTAGAACGAGGCTGAGGAGAACACTGTGGCCATCAGACCTACTTGGGAGAGAGTGCACAGCTCCCAGCCTGCAGCGGAGGCAGCTGAGACGCAGTGGCCTCAGGACTAAGGGCCCGGATATTGCTGTCCTATTCCACTCAGCGTAGAAGAGAAGAGAATTGGTGCTGCAGAAGTGTGTCCGCTACGAAGCCGATGAGAAACCTCGTGTTAGCCTGACCTGTCCTCACCGACTCATCCATTTCTATAGGATGCGCAGTGCATGCGGGCCCAGTCCCTGCGGTGGGGAAGGGGGAAGGGTTGTGCTTTGCTCCGTCTTTGTTTTCTTACAACTGAGCAAGGAGAGAGCCAGACCCTGGTCAGGGCTCCCTTTGCTGCCTTTGGCGGTTTTGTTTCTGTCTTGCCTTTTCCTGGCGGTGGTCCCCGTGCTGACCCTCATCTGGGCCTGGGCCCTCTGCCAAGTGCCCCTGTGGGATGGGAGGAGTGAGGCAGCGGGATTGAATCGATGGTTGTCTCTATGCATTCAGGCTGCCCTGAGGGCTGCCTCCCTTCTTCCTATTCCCTTGCTGCACGTCCATCTCTTTTCCTGTCTTTGAGATTGACCCGACGGCTTTGGCAAGAAGAAGAGGTGTCCTCTTAAAGAGGTCTCTTTACTGACCAACTGAAGTGTAGACTTAACTGCTGGACAATCTGCATGGGCATCACCCCCACCACCAACAACTGCATGTATCCCAAAGAGGTGTTCAGAACCAAGACTCCTTCCTACATTCATTGTCCCTCCTGTGCTCAAGGAGTTCCAGTCCAGGAGGGGAAGAGCTATACTCTAAGCAGATAGAGAAGACAATGGAGGAGCAACTGGTCATGGCATTGGTGTCCCCGAAACAATTGTGCAAACTGGTCTGCGCAATTATTTGCACTGTTGGAGGGGGGAAGTGGGTAGACCCCAGCTGCCTGGACTACTTCAGGAGGCAAAGCTACAGAAGGACCTTGGAGCCAGCTGAGAAGAGAGCAAACCCGCAGGTGCTGGTGCTTGGATGTAGCCAGGCTCCTCTGAGCACCTCATGCATGCCCCAGCCCCTGGCCTGAGCCCTTTGCCGCCCTGCAGCCTGCAGTACCAGCACGCAGACACCTTCACCACGGGGTTTGGTTTTGCTGGCTTGAAGACAAATGGTCTTAGAGTTCATTAAGACCCATAGCTTCATGTGGCTGCTCCAGCTCCACTTCTTAGCATTCTTACTCCTCTCTGGGGCTAATGTCAGCATCTATAGACAATAGACTATTAAAAAAATCACCTTTTAAACAGGAAATGGAAGGCATTTGATGCAGAATTTTTGCATGACATAGAAATAATTTAAAAAATAGTTAGTGTTTGTTCTGAATGTTGGTAGACCCTTCATAGCTTTGTTACAATGAAACCTTGAACTGAAGATATTTAATAAAATAACCTTTAAACCGTCCACTGTGTTACTTACTGCTGGTGGAGATGTATGGCCAGAGGCTTAGATTTTAGCAGCCTGGGTTACAAGGTTTCCACTCACTCCCTTTGGGCCCATTTTGGAATAAAACTTCATAAACTCATCCACCACCTTACAGTTCACCCGGCTGCCCAGGCGAGTTTGGGAGGGGGAGGGGGCATTTGGGCGCTTAGGTGTTGGGCCAAGGCCTGGCCCCGCCCCCCGCCTCAGTGGGCTGCCTGGCTCCC